GGACATGCACAAAGGGACAATTTTCCCCTCAAGGAATACTTGTTTGAAAGTAATTAAATTTGGTCGAAAGCATAGCGCCTGGCCCGGGAAAGATAATGCCTCACCCAGTACTCTGACGAGCATGACATCTGAAAGAAGACTAGCAGGAAAAGAGAGACACTGCCAATGCACTGAAGCAAGGTAAAGCTGGTACCCACCAGAGTCCCTCTTCAAAACTTGATGTTAAAGGAAACTGGCAAATACACTCAACTCATAGTGACCACCTGCGTCCACTTTCCACTTAATGAATGAAAGTGGAAGACATATAGCAATGAAGAGACAAGCTGAGTTTGGATGTGTTCCTTTCCCATTGTCCATCTGGTGTGATGAATTGTTAAGAAAAGCGTTGCTGGCCTATGGAGCAAGGAGTCATGAGGATCCCTGATGTGTTGACTTGACCCTTAATGAGGCTAAGGCTAAGTAAAGGCACTAGCTTGTCTGAATCCGAAACACAGGAAGAAATCTGGACTCCTTTGTTTGCATCTAATGCCCATTTAGGCACAGCCATGGATCGCTGAGGGTGTGTGGACCCAAACCCAACCAGGTGAAGAGAAGATGTTTCATTGCATACACTAGTGTTGATTTCTATAACCTGACAGATTGCTCTGACTGGGCTTTGCTTATAGTTGTGGATGCTCAAAGTTCTAATTCAATATAAAATTATTCGGAGAAATAGACATACTGTTTCCTCAGAGTACTGGTTTAACCGGAAAGGGCAAGTCAGAAATTATCTAAAATGGGGAGCTTAAGGTATGACTTAGCTTGTTTACCTACATTCATGAACGTAGATAATTATAAGGGAAAGTTGATCCTTCAAACATGAAAGATAATGGCTAGAAAAGCCAGAGATGGCCTGTGGTATAGCCATTTTTTCGAAAAATTTGGATTTCTAGACCATGGTTTTTAATCTGATTCAGCTACCACAATTTTGCCTGAATTGATAAAAAGAAATGGTCCAGATAACCACCCTAAGCTCCCCTGGGGGCCCAGCACTCCAATATAGAGTTTTGTGTCCAGAACGCTCTAGTCTTTTTTTTCCCCTTGACTTGCTGGAGATACCTACAGCCCATAGATACACCCTTAACAAGATGCATGAGCTTCTTGGGAATTTCTGGATTGCGGAGCCCACAGAAACACAGGAGGTATGGGGTCAGGGAGAATTGGAGAGACAGAATTGTAAAAATGATGGGTTGTTTGAGAGATCAAACGTTGGGAGCACTCTTTGACCCCTTGTTTTGATGGACAATCTGATATTAGAATAAATAGAATAAATGATGTGTTTCTTGCTACCTATGTTGTTGTTGTTGTTGTTATGTG